ACAGACAAATTTGAGGATTAGAGCTGTACCTGAACTGGAGAAGGACAGTTTGATAGAATTTCTCACGCAGGAATTTGCTGATTTTTGGGAATTAGATTTGGAGCAAGAGGAATTCAGAATTGTGAGTGCCTTCAGACTTGGAAGGGGGGGGGAGAAAAGAGTAGAAAAAGAGACTGCTTGATCACTCTCCAAACTAAAGAAGAGAGAGATAAAATCTTTGGTTGGCACTATCTGAAGACTTTGGAAGTACAACAATCAAGAGTGGAAATTTTTAAAGACGTCCCGAAATATCTTTTGGATCTTAGGTCTAACTATAGAGATTTGGTCGACCTGCTGAGAAAGAATAAAATTAACTTCAGGTGGGAGTTTCCCCAAGGTCTATCTTTCAGTTTCAAATGAAGGAAGATAAAAATAAGATCAGTAGAAGATAAAGTAAAGTTTTTGGATAAATGCAAAGAAGATCTCCAGAAGGGACTTGGGAAAGAGCCAGAAGCATTGGATAGAAGACCACCAGACAGAGGACTAGAGCAAAGAGCATTGGACAGAAGATCGTCAAATAAGGGAATATTGGATATATCAACATTTTCCTTTGGACTGGATCCCCCAGTGAATGTGACACCAACACCACCAACAGAAGAAGAGCAAGCATTGGGTGCAGTTGGAGGAAAATCAGAGTAACTACACCATGGCGTTGCAAGTATTGAGTTGGAATGTTAATGGACTGAACTCCCCAGAAAAAAGGCAGAGAGTCTTTCATTTATTGAAAAAAGAACAATTGGACTTGATTTGTCTACAAGAAACGCATGTGAGAAGGCTACATGGGAAGATATTGAGCAATAAAAGATTGGGTCATGAATTTATTTCATCGGATAAAGTTAAAAGAAGAGGAGTAGTACTTCATGCAAAGGAGAGCCTATCACCGAAATTTATGTTTAAAGATGAACAAGGAAGGTTTGTTGCAATTGAAATTCAATCACAAGGAGAGAAATTTTTGATAGTAGTTATCTATGCACCAAATGAAGGAAAATCGGAATTTTTTAAGAAGTTACATGAGACTCTAATGGACTATATGGATTATAATATTATTTTGATGGGAGACATGAATGGAGTGGTGTCTATAAAGATGGATAAGGCATAGAGACAGGTAGTCACCAAAGATGGTAGACTACCAAAACCTTTTTTTGACATGACTGAAAATTTGGATTTAGTTGATATTTGGAGAATGAAGAATCCTTTGGGAAGAGAGGGAACTTTTTTTTCTGAAGCTAAAATGACATGGACAAGAATTGACCAAATTTGGATAACTAGAGGTCTGGCTCCGAAGACTAGCAAGGTGGAGATATGCCCCAAAACTTGTTCTGACCATAATCCTGTGAAGATGGAAATGAAATTGATGCCAATTGGTTCCTTTAGATGGAGGATGAATGATACTTTATTTAGGAATGAAGAAGTGACCAAGAAGGCCCAAAAAAACCTTGAGAGACTATTTTGAGATAAATATGAACACTACAGTGGAAAAAAGAGTAATCTGGGACGCAAGTAAAGCAGTTATGAGAGGATTTTTGATACAACAGAATGCAATCAAGAAGAGAAGACAAAATGAGAAAAAGGATAAAATTCTGGAGAAAATAAAGGAAGGAGAGAAGAAACTGAGAGCAAAACCAAAATCACAGGAGATTCTGAAAGAGATAAAGTTATATTAAGTACAATATATGAAATTGATGAATCAAGAGATAGAATGGAAGATTAAACAGATGAGACAAAAGACATTTGAATCGGCAAATAAGTGTGGGAAATTGTTGGCCTGGCAAATGAAAAAAAGACAAAAACTTAATACTATTACAAATTTGGAAGTGGAAGGAAAGAATATACAGAACCCAGTGGAGATCAGGAAATGCTTCCAGAGGTATTTTAAACAACTTTATACACAGGAGAAGCAGAAAGAAATGGATATTGATCGATTTTTAAAAATAAATGGTCTACAGAAAATCTCTCAGGAAAATAAGTTAATGTTGAATTATAAAATAATGGATCAGGAAGTAGAAGGGGCCATACAGAACATGCAATTGGGTAAATCTCCAGGACCGGATGGTTTGACTTCAAGATACTATAGATCTTTGAAAGAATGGCTAATACAACCATTGAAGCAAGTCTGTAATGAAATATTGGAAGGGAAAAGGGCACCAGTGTCGTGGAAAGAAGCCTATATTACACTTATACCGAAAACAGAGACTGAAAAGACACAGCTTAAGAACTACCGCCCCATATCGCTGCTTAATGTGGATTATAAAATTGTTGCAGATATTTTGGCTAAAATATTAAAAAGGTGCTAGTAGAAGAAATTCATAAAGATCAAGCTGGCTTTCTCCCAGGCAGACATCTGTCTGACAATATGAGGAACATAATTAACATTTTAGAAAAACTACAAGTTAATATTAATACTAAGGCAGTTTTGATATTTGTGGATGCGGAGAAAGCTTTCGATAATATTTCTTGGAGTTTTATGAAGAAGAATTTACAGGGGATGGGGGTAGGTCAAGGTTTTGAAAATGGTATAGGTGCAATTTATTCAGAACAAAAAGCAAAATTAATTGTGAACAATGTAGTTACAGAAGAGTTTAAGATTGAGAAAGGAACACGACAAGGTTGCCCAATCTCTCCACTGCTTTTTATATCGGTCCTGGAGGTTTTGCTAAATATGATTAGAAAGGACCAATTGGTTAAAGGAATACAAGTGGGAGCTAAACAGTACAAACTGAAAGCATTTGTTGATGACCTAGTATTGACTTTTCAGGAGCCAGAATCTAGTACCAAAAGGGTACTGGAACTGATTCAAGAATTTGGACAGGTAGCAGGTTTTAAGTTGAACAAGATGAAAGCTAAGGTTTTAGAGAAAAATCTAACTGTGAGTGAGAGGGAGAAGTTCCAGGAGGAAACAGGACTAACTTTGGTTAAGAAAGTGAGATATTTAGGGGTTAACATGACTGCTAAGAATGTGAACTTGTTTAAGGATAACTATGAAAAATGTTGGATGAAGTGAAAAAGGACTTAGAAATATGGTCAAATTTGAAGTTATCATTGCTAGGTCGAATTGCTGTGATAAAAATGAATGTATTGCCAAGGATGTTGTTTTTGTTTCAAACTCTGCAAATTATAGACAAGATGGAGTGTTTCAAGAAGTGGCAGAGAGATATTTCCAGATTTGTCTGGCAAGGCAAGAAACCTCGAATAAAATTTAAGATATTAACTGATGCTAAGGAAAGAGGTGGATTTGCCCTGCCAGACTTTAAACTTTACTATGAATCAGCTGCTTTTTGCTGGCTGAGAGAATGGCTGCTTCTTGAAAATACTGATGTGCTAGACTTAGAAGGTTTTAACAATGTATTTGGTTGGCATGCATATCTGTGGTATGATAAGGTAAAAGCACATAAAGCGTTTACAAACCATATTGTTAGAAAAGCATTGTTTAATGTCTGGACAAGATATAAGGATCTGCTAGAAAATAAAACCCCAAGATGGTTGTCACCAATGGAAGCGAAGGCACAGAAAAAACTCAATATGGAGGCCAAATGGCCGAAATATTGGGAAATTTTGGAACAAGATGGAGACAGAGTAAAACTGCAGAGTTTTGAAAAATTAAAAAACAAAGTGCGAGATTGGCTCCATTATTATCAAATAATGGAGGCATATAATTTGGATAAAAAAGTTGGCTTCCAGGTGGAAAAATTTGTATACAATAATGATTTGTATAAATATATATAGAAATGCTTCAGTATCTGGGAAAAGATCACTTGTGGAACGCTTCAGTTTGGGCTCAACATTCCCATTAATGATGCAAATTCTGCCCACACCTTTGGCTGCCATACATCCCCAGATCATCACACTGTCTGGGTGTTTCACAGTCGGTGTAATGCAAGTAGAATGTAATCTTCTCTGATTCTTCTCCTCTTGCCCAGTTAAAGAAACTTGCGTATTTCATGCCATCACTACCAAGCAAGGTAGTGTCCAATTGTTCCGCTGTCCAGTTAACATGGGTTTAATCTTTTCAACCTTTGCTTGAGAGATTACAATGGCTTTTTCCTTAGAATTCTAACATTTAGATCAGTCCTTGCACTCAACTTCCCATTACATTGCGCCATGTCACCTTGTATACACCCAGAAGATTTTCTTCTGTCATGTAGGGACAGTCTCTCCACTCGTCCATCGTCACTTGCCTTTGTGCACATTTTCCTGCCTTTACCAGTCAGATTTTGTAGTGACTGAGTCTCCTTATACCTCTTCAAAAATATAGAAAGGCCAGCTTTGGTTTTGTTTTCCCCAATCTTTCATCTAATTTCTTCATAACTATAGCCTTGTTCATTTAATATTAGAATCTTACATCGCTTTCTGGGTGACCAGTCAACTCTTTGTGCCATTTCTATAATTTTATAATGTTTTACAACCTCACTAAATGAAATAACACAAAAAACCAATCAACGTGACAGCAATCACATAACACACTGAAAAAAGTCAACCTAAGCAAGTTGTGCTTCCTTTTTTGGTTATTGGCTATAACGTTTGATAAAATACAGGTAATTGAACAAACTTTGTTGGATTACATTCTTGATTAAATTATCTTTCCATTGATATATAATTTGATGATATTACTCCAAAAGAAGTGGTGTTTTGAGCCATCAAACCTCTGAAAGACACTTTTTTCCGGAAGTCGTCCACAATTTTGACCACGACTGTATAACAAAGCAACATTCAACAACTCATCAGAATCTCATAATAAACAAACAACACAGGTAATGAACACACACCCAACTCCCTTCAGATCTTCTCCATTTGTTCCTGAGGCTCTAATCCCTTTTTGTTTCCATTGCAGATGGTGATAAATTGGAAATTGAGAACAAAGGTGACGATGACAAAATCCCCAGAGAGGAGAAGCCATGTAAAAATTTGGAGTGTGGGGAAACTTTCAGTCAGAGCTCCTATTCGACTTCCCATCAACAAAATCTTGGAAAGAAACTATATCAATGCATGGAATGTGGAAAGAGCTTCAGTCAGAGCTCCTCTCTCATTTCCCATCAAAGAATTCATACAGGGGAGAAAACTTTTCAGTGCTTTGAATGTGGAAAGAGCTTTAGTCACAGCCACAGTCTCACTTACCATCAAAGAACTCATACAGGGGAGAAACCTTATCAGTGTGTGGAATGTGGGAAAAGCTTCACTGATAGCTCCTCTCTCACTTCCCATCAAAGAATTCATACAGGGGAGAAACCTTATCAGTGTGTGGAATGTGGAAAGAGCTTCACGCATGGCTCCTCTCTCACTTCCCATCAAAGAATTCATACAGGGGAGAAACCCTATCAGTGTGTGGAATGTGGAAAGAGCTTCAGGAAGAGCTCCTCTCTCACGTCCCATCAAATAATTCATACAGGGGAGAAACCCTATCAGTGTGTGGAATGTGGAAAGAGCTTCAGTCAGAGCTCCCATCTCAATTCCCATCAAAGAATTCATACAGGGGAGAAACCCTATCAGTGTGTGGAATGTGGAAAGAGCTTCAGTCAGAGCTCCTCTCTCACTTCCCATCAAAGAATTCATACAGGGGAGAAACCTTATCAGTGTGTGGAATGTGGAAAGAGCTTCACGCATGGCTCCTCTCTCACTTCCCATCAAAAAATTCATACAGGGGAGAAACCCTATCAGTGCATGGAATGTGGAAAGAGCTTCACTCATAGCTCCTCTTTCAGTTTCCATCAAAGAATTCATACAGGGGAGAAGGCCTATCAGTGTGTGGAATGTGGAAAGAGCTTCACACATAGCTCCTCTCTCACTTCCCATCAAATAATTCATACAGGGAAGAAGCCCTATCAGTGTGTGGAATGTGGAAAGAGCTTCACTCATAGCTCCTCTCTCACCTCCCATCAAAGAATTCATACAGGGGAGAAACCCTATCAGTGCGTGGAATGTGGAAAGAGCTTCACTGATAGCTCCTCTTTCACTTTCCATCAAAGAATTCATACAGGGGAGAAGCCCTATCAGTGTGTGGAATGTGGAAAGAGCTTCACGCATAGCTCCTCTCTCACTTCCCATCAAAGAATTCATACAGGGGAAAAACCCTATCAGTGTGTGGAATGTGGAAAGAGCTTCAGGAAGAGCTCCTCTCTCACGTCCCATCAAATAATTCATACAGGTGAGAAACCCTATCAGTGTGTGGAATGTGGAAAGAGCTTCAGGAAGAGCTCCTCTCTCACGTCCCATCAAAGAATTCATACAGGGGAAAAACCCTATCAGTGTGTGGAATGTGGAAAGAGCTTCACTCACAGCCACAGTCTCACTTCCCATCAAAGAATTCATACAGGGGAGAAACCCTATCAATGTGTGGAATGTGGAAAGAGCTTCAGGGATAGCTCCTCTCTCACGTCTCATCAAATAATTCATACAGGGGAGAAACCATATCAGTGCATGGAATGTGGAAAGAGCTTTACATGTAGCTCCTCTTTCACCTCCCATCAAAGAATTCATACAGGGGAGAAACCCTATCAGTGTGTGGAATGTGGAAAGAGCTTCCGTCAGAGTGCCCATCTCACTAAGCATCAGAGAATTCATACAGGGGAGAATCCCTATCAGTGCTTTGAATGTGGAAAGAGCTTCAGTCAGAGTGCCCATCTCACTAAGCATCAGAGAATTCATACAGGGGAGAAACCCTATCAGTGTGTGGAATGTGGAAAGAGCTTCAGTCAGAGTGCCCATCTCACTAAGCATCAGAGAATTCATATAGGGGAGTAACCCTATCAGTGTGTGGAATGTGGAAAGTGCTTCAGTGAAAGCTCCTCTCTGTTTTCCCATCAGTTAATTCATACAGGTTAGAGAGAAAAAGGGGACGTGGCCTACATACATAGATTTGCTGAAGGGAAATGGTAATTAAAAGAATATGAGGAAATAAAAGATCATTTGCAGAGTTGGTTATACTACAGACAATTACATGAGCTATACAAGGAAGGTAATAAGAAAAGGTTTAGTTATACATTTTCTAGATTTCAACAGAAAATTATAGAAGTGCAGGTGCTGAAGAAAGTGTATAGTATTTTCATAGAATCATAGAATCATAGAGTTGGAAGAGACCACAAGGGCCATCGAGTCCAACCCCCTGCCAAGCAGGAAACACCATCAGAGCACTCCTGACATATGGTTGTCAAGCCTCTGCTTAAAGACCTCCAAAGAAGGAGACTCCACCACACTCCTTGGCAGCAAATTCCACTGTCAAACAGCTCTTACTGTCAGGAAGTTCTTCCTAATGTTTAGGTGGAATCTTCCTTCTTGTAGTTTGGATCCATTGCTCCGTGTCCGCTTCTCTGGAGCAGCAGAAAACAGCCTTTCTCCCTCCTCTATGTGACATCCTTTTATATATTTGAACATGGCTATCATATCACCCCTTAACCTCCTCTTCTCCAGGCTAAACATGCCCAGCTCCCTTAGCCGTTCCTCATAAGGCATCGTTTCCAGGCCTTTGACCATTTTGGTTGCCCTCCTCTGTACACGTTCCAGTTTGTCAGTGTCCTTCTTGAACTGTGGTGCCCAGAACTGGACACAGTACTCCAGGTGAGGACTGACCAGAGCAGAATCCAGTGGCACTATTACTTCCCTTGATCTAGATGCTATACTCCTACTGATGCAGCCCAGAATTGCATTGGCTTTTTTAGCTGCCGTGTCACACTGTTGGCTCATGTCAAGTTTGTGGTCAACCAAGACTCCTAGATCCTTTCCACATGTACTGCTCTCAAGCCAGGTGTCACCCATCTTGTATTTGTGCCTCTCATTTTTTAAAAAAAATTTTTTGCCCAAGTGCAATACTTTACATTTCTCCCTGTTAAAGTTCATCTTGTTTGTTTTGGCCCAGTTCTCTAATCTGTCAATCCCTTGAGTCCATCATCCAAGTCGTTGATAAAGATGTTGAATAAGACCGGGCCCAAGACAGAACCCTGTGGCACCCCACTAGTCACTCTTCTCCAGGATGAAGAGGAACCATTGATGAGCACCCTTTGGGTTCGGTCAGTCAGCCAGTTACAAATCCACTGAGTGGTAGCATAGTCAAGTCCGCATTTTACCAGCTTCTTTACAAGAATATCATGGGGCACCTTGTCAAATGCCTTGCTGAAATCAAGGTAGGCTACATCCACTGCGTTCCCTTCATCTACCAGGCTTGTAACTCTGTCAAAAAACGAGATCAGGTTAGTCTGACATGACTTATTTTTCAGAAATCCATGCTGACTATTGGTGATCACAGCATTCCTTTCTAGGTGCTCACAGACTGTTTGCTTAATGATCTGCTCCAGAATCTTCCCTGGTATTGATGTCAGACTGACTGGGCGGTAATTATTTGGGTCCTCTCTTTTCCCCTTTTTTAAAATAGGGACAACGTTTGCCCTCTTCCAGTCTGCCAGGACTTCGCCTGTTCTCCCGGAATTCTCAAAGATGACTGCCAGTCGTTCTGAGATCACATCTGCCAGTTCTTTTAATACTCTTGGATGCAGTTCATCTGGCCCTGGAGACTTGAATACATCAAAACTAGCCAAGTATTCTTGTACTATCTCCTTAGTTATTCTGGGCTGTGTTTCCTCTGCTGAATCATTTGCTCCAAATTCTTCAGGTTGGGCATTGTTTTCTTTATCGGAGAAGACTGAGGGCAAAGAAGGCATTGAGGAGTTCAGCCCTTTCTGTGTCCCCTGTTTGCATTTCACCATCTTCTCCTCTGAGTGACCCCAATGTTTCTTTGTTCTTCCTTTTGCTACGGACCGAATCCTTGTTGGGCCGAATCGCAGCTATAAAAATGAATGTATTGCCGAAAATGTTATTTTTGTTCCAAACCCTACAGATCGTGGACAGAGTGGAATGTTTTGGAAAGTGGCAGAAGGATATATCTAAGTTCGTCTGGCAGGGCAAAAAGCCCCGAATAAAATTTAAAATACTAACTGACTCGAAGGAAAGAGGGGGGTTTGCCCTGCCGGACTTGAGGTTGTATTATGAATCTGCAGCCTTCTGCTGGTTGAAGGATTGGTTCTTGCTGGAGAACACTGATGTCCTAGATCTGGAAGGGTTTGATAATGCTTTTGGTTGGCATGCATACTTGTGGTACGACAAGGTTAAAGTTCATAAATTGTTTAAAAACCATATTGTCAGAAGAGCAATTTTTGCGGTCTGGGTGAAATACAAAGACTTACTAGAGGGCAAGACCCCGAGGTGGCTATCACCGGTGGAGGCCAAGGCCCGAAAAAGACCCAACATGGAGGCCTACTGGCCAAAATATTGGGAAATAGTTGAAAAAATCGGAGACAATTGGAGGTTGCAGAGCCTGGACAAATTAAAAAACAAGGTGCGAGATTGGTTACATTATGCTCAAATTCAAGAGGTTTTTTAAATGGACAAAAAAGTTGGTTTCCAGGTGGAAAAATCGAAACTGGAGACGGAACTGTTAGAACCAAAGACTAAGATACTCTCGAGAATGTACAACTTGCTGCTTAAATGGAACACACAGGATGAGACAGTTAAATCTGCCATGATAAAGTGGGCGCAGGACATTGGGCATAACATTATGTTTGAGGACTGGGAAAGGTTATGGAACACCGGAATGAAGTTTACGGCATGTAGTGCCTTGAAAGAAAACATTATGAAAATGGTATACCGGTGGTACATGACCCCAGTCAAGCTAGCTAAGATATATCACCTGTCTGATAATAAATGTTGGAAATGTAGGGAGGCAGAAGGGACATTCTTCCACCTCTGGTGGACCTGCCCAAAAGTGAAGGCCTTCTGGGAAATGATTTATAATGAATTGAAAAGGGTATTCAGATATACCTTTCCTAAGAAACCAGAGGCCTTCCTCTTGGGTATGGTGGACCAGAAAGTGTCAAAGAAGGATAGAACTTTGTTTATGTATGCTACTACAGCAGCAAGAATTCTCATCGCAAAGCACTGGAAGACACAAGATTTACCCACACTGGAGGAATGGCAGATGCAGCTGATGGAGTACATGGAACTGGCTGAAATGACTGGCAGAATCCGAGATTTGGGCGAGGAAACAATAGAAGAGGACTGGAAAAAATTTAAAGACTACTTGCAAAAACATTATAAGTTGTATGAATGTTAAGAACGTGCACGATTAGGAAATTCTATGCTTTAGCAACTTGATTAAGTAAATGGTAAATTACCGTATTTTTCGCACGATTGGACGCACCGGACCATAGGACGCACCTAGTTTTTTTGGGGGGAAATAAAGGAAAAAAAATTCCCCTTTATTTCCCCCCCAAAAGCAGGTCAGGGAAACCGAACCAGGTCGAGGAACAGCGGGATAGTGGCGCTGCGCCTCCCTGCTGTCCCCCAAGCTTGTGGGGCTGGCCGATGTCTGTCCGGCGGGCGGGGAGCTCTGCTTCAGGGCGCCCCACCAGCCAGGCAGCAGGCTGCTATCCGCAGCGTGGGGAGCCCTGTGGGGAATTCCTGCAAGGCTCCCCACGCTGCGGATGTGTTCCCGAAGCGCCTGGAGCTCTGCTTTCAGGGCGCCCGGCGCTCCGGGAAGCAGGCTGCTATCCGCAGCCTAGACACGGCTAGCGGAGCGCTAATCCCGAAGCCCCAAGCTTCGAGATTAGCGCGGCGCTTTGCTAGCCCTGGGAGAGCCCCGCAACGTCACGGGGCTCTCCCAGGGCTAGCGAGACCTTGCTGGCACCCAGAAGCTTGGGGCGCGCTGAGCTCCGCGCGCCCCAAGCTTCGGGATTAGCGCGGCGCTTCGCTAGCCCTGGGAGAGCCACGCAACGTCGCGGGGCTCTCCCAGGGCTAGCGAGACCTTGCCGGCACCCAGAAGCTTGGGGCGCGCTGAGCTCCGCGCGCCCCAAGCTTCGGGATTAGTGCGGCGCTTCGCTAGCCCTGGGAGAGCCACGCAACGTCGCGGGGCTCTCCCAGGGCTAGCGAGACCTTGCCGGCACCCAGAAGCTTGGGGCGCGCTGAGCTCCGCGCGCCCCAAGCTTCGGGATTAGCGCGGCGCTTCGCTAGCCGTGGGAGAGCCACGCAACGTCGCGGGGCTCTCCCAGGGCTAGCGAGACCTTGCCGGCACCCAGAAGCTTGGGGCGCGCTGAGCTCCGCGCGCCCCAAGCTTCGGGATTAGCATGGCGCTTCGCTAGCCCTGGGAGAGCCACGCAACGTCGCGGGGCTCTCCCAGGGCTAGCGAGACCTTGCCGGCACCCAGAAGCTTGGGGCGCGCTGAGCTCCGCGCGCCCCAAGCTTCGGGATTAGCGTGGCGCTTCGCTAGCCCTGGGAGAGCCACGCAACGTCGCAGGGCTCTCCCAGGGCTAGCGAGACCTTGCCGGCACCCAGAAGCTTGGGGCGCGCTGAGCTCCGCGCGCCCCAAGCTTCGGGATTAGCGCGGCGCTTCGCTAGCCCTGGGAGAGCTGGGTCTCCCACGGCTAGCGGATAGCTTCCTGAAGCCTGGAGAGCGAGAGGGGTCGGTGCGCACCGACCCCTCTCACTCTCCAGGCTTCAGCGAAAGCCTGCATTCGCTCCATAGGACGCACACACATTTTCCCTTGCTTT